CTTAGTGGAAGATTTCAATTTTAGAAAAGAGGAAGATTAGTGGAAGATTCCAATTTTAGAAAAGAGGACTTAGTGGAAGATTCCAATTTTAGAAAAGAGGAAGATTAGTGGAAGATTTCAATTTTTTTTTGATAAAGTGTAGACTAAGATATAAAAAATTCGTTTAGATCAATTTTTACATCGTTTAGATCTAATTCTCTATAGATCATAATACTTTTAGAACAAATTCCCTTTAGATCGAAAGGGTCATAGATCAGATTCCTAAACAGCAAATTTGTGTCTAAAATATAAAAACTGCTCAAAATCGATATAGTGGTCCGGGTCCCCAGAATAATTTGTTTGAACCAATTTTTTCTCCTTCATGGTTTAGGGTTTCAAATTCTGAAATAAAATTTTTTTAAAAATATAATTTTTCTTTTCTTTTTCAGATGGAAAAATTGGTGTAATGGCTGCCATTGTTGGACAATTTATAGGTAATTATAAATTAACCAATTTAGCCTTGACACAAATGTCCAAGCTAATAGATTTAATTTAATAACGGTTCTATCTGTCATTTGGTTGAAAGAGCACTAACATATGAAAACGGGAAGATTTGTCAGCTTATTTTAATATCTTTTTATATTTTCTATCATTAGTTTAAACGCAGAGTTTAAAGGGACTGCTAAGGAAAATTTAAAGGGGGTATAGGCTGAAACCTAAGCACTTTAGGAGTTGATCAAGACCTATAAGAGTTCTATCTGATGTTCCTGTCTCGAGACAATGATACTGAATTGCCAGTGCTAGTGGTAGAAATTCTGGTCATGTGGTACAGACGTTTCAATTATATTATCAATTATATCTATTAAAAATGAAAAATTAATAAATTCAAATAATAATCTTAATTTGCAGATTAGATGCTTATTTGCTGAAAATGATCTATTTAAAACTTAGATTCTTATACCAAATCTCACATAATAAGTTTTGGTATAACTTTGACACAGTTTTTTTTCTTCTTCAATTTCTCGAGACAGGAAAATCAGAAAGAACTCTTATAGGTCTCAATCAACTCCTGAAGTGCTTAGGTTTCAGCCTATACCCCCATCAATTTTTCCTTAACAGTCCCTTTAAGCCGAGAAATAAAAACGGAAAAATATAAATAAAATAAAGAAATATTGAGTTAATAAACTTTTGTTTAGGTGGAATTATGTTTTCTTTAATGGCCGGGCAACCCCTGGTAGTAATAATGACAACTGCTCCCCTAGCATTGTATATTAAGGTTTGTGTATAGTTTTACGAAAATGTTTTGAAAATTTTCTTCCAGTTTCTTTTTCCAGTTTATTATCAAGGTCTTTCTATTATTTTGTTTTGCTCAAGATCGATCATGTAACTCAGCGTTTTGTGTTCATGTTTTTTTTTGTAATTTCAAATGATAAGACAACATTTTTCTTCATAAGTTCAAATAAAAAACACTTCTTTATTTAATGAGGGGGGGGGGTTAGGGGCATCATCCAAATTGCCTGCAGAGCTTCAAGGACCAGGAGTAATAATAATATTTTAAAACAAAATTTTACAATTTTTGTTGTTTTAGATAATAGTAGCAGTCGCGGATGAACATGAAATGGATTTCTTTGCTTTGTATACAAGGTCTATAATTTATTAAATTTGAAATCAAAAAGCAAAAAAATGTTTTTTTTTCGTTCCCACATACATGGCTAGTTGCAGATTGAAACTTTAAAAGTATGGATAAAAATCCTCCAATCCCAGATAAAAGAACTTTGCCTGTAGATATTAAGTGAAGTAGATTAAAATCTGAAAAGCACTTAATTAAAAAAATTGGAAAGCAACTGATTTTAATTGATGAATTTATTTATATTCTTATATATTCTTGCTGAGGTCTCTTGCAATAATTTACTAATCTAAAACTCGTTTTTCAATTTTAATCCAGTCTAATGCCTTTAGCAAGTCCAAAAATGAACAGTAATATTTAATTTGCACAATGCTCACAAAATAGGACAATTACTATCCGATTACTATGTTTTAGTAGCGTTATGTTTCATTTTCACTCCAAACCTATGTCTATTTAACAATTTTATTTCACCCTGTGCTTCGGGACATTTAAAAGATTGTACATAAAGACATCCATTGAACTGTGGAATAGAAAGACGAATTTAGACACAAGTTATGAATTTTAATAGTCCTATGAACATGAAACACATGTACATTAATTTAGTTAATAAATTCATTTTCAAGCTACACAGCACAACTGATGCGTTTTATGTTTAGCAGACTATTCAAAATCTTGGCAAGGCTAACAGTCGTCTATCTATTTGTCTAGTTGTAAAGCTCCACTGCAGAAGCAAATATCTACAGTCTTCGTAGTATATATTAATACAATAAAGACACGAATATTTGATTTCTAACAAGCTTTTAAACAGCTAGAAACATTTCAACATTTATACAAAGAGAAGTCTCTTTGTTTTATTGTAAACTTTGAATTTGAAAAATGTTTGTCGCCATCGTCTTCAATGTATTGATATAATCGTCGACCACTGTATTAATGTACATTTCAGTGTTGGTTTGTGGAATGCGTTGTATATTATCATATACGCTTTAACCAACGCAACTAAACTGATGAAATACTCTACGAGGTCGACAGAGGAGATATTTGCTCTCTTCATCTGTATAGCATTCACCTTCGATGCACTTAAGGAAGAACGGCATTTTTCATCTATTTAAAGGGGCTGTCGACGTAATTTCAAGTGGCCCTTGATTAACAAAGAAAAAAGTGGCATGTCCGATTCACAACATCTATTTGAGTAACAATGAGGTAGTATCGTCGTTTTATCTTAAGGGTGTTGATTTATTACAATTTTATCGTCCTCGCATTTACCATTTTTACCATTTTAAATTAGACAATAGACATGCCATTTTTTTTTTAATAGAGGTTTACTTTAAATTATGTCAATAAACATAAGTCTTGATAGTTGAATTCTGTGTCACATGATTTTAGGACATTTAATAATATTATTATTAAGGGGTCTGTAGAAGTAATTTCAAACGAGCCTTCCTTAGCAAAAATTGGCATGTCCGGCTGTCGAAGACAACCTTAAATCCATGATATTATCAATCTATATAATATAACAAGACATTCGTAAATATGTACCCTATAGTCGGCTAAACGGCTGAATTTTTTTGTGGACACTCAGCTAGTAATTTATAAGATATCGTAAGTCCGAAGTCACTTTTTTAGAGAAAACACAATTGAAATAATAACATTTTAAAAAGAGAAACATGGGGCTAATTGCTAATTTATTCTGGATAGGGAAAAGTTTTTAAAGGTACGGTTGTGAAACCGATATTCCACTCTTCATATGGAGGGTCACTTGAAATTCCGTTTATTGTTTTGGAAACCAATCTTTATTATATTCACAGCAGAGACACAGGTTTTCATTTATGTCTCATCTTTTGTTGGCAACCCTCCAGCTATAATTATGTAGATTATAATTTGACGATGTATTATTAATAATTTTTCGAGTATCTCACGCGCTTACAAGACAGATGAAGAAAGTTAGGTTTATGCGTAATTACTGTTAAGACTTTGTGCCCTCGCAGCACAAGTGTGAGAAAAGTTAATCTATTTGGTTACACACTAGAGGTTTAAACAAGTGTGAGAAAAGTTAATTTATTTTGTTACACACAAGAGGTTTAAACATGGTTTAAACAACCAAAGTTCTTCTCAATATGTCTTCAATAAGATAGGCTATAGATTGAAAACACGTAAACTTTCAATATAGCGTACAATTATCCTATTTGATTTAATATAACATTGCTTGACGAATCTCAAAATATATTCTATATTTGTCCAAAGTCCACGCTGATTTAGTACTTCAGTCCTTATCCCAGCAAACTGTGACATCAGATCACAATTTCAAAAAAAATAATTCGTCTGTGTCCGAATTTAATGAATTTAAGCCGCGTCTCAAATCCCCCAAAAACCGGTTTCTATTGAGCGTTGGCTTAAATCTGAAAAATTGAATACAATTTAAAGTGGAACCTACTATATTAGAGCCGCGTCTTAATTTTAAGCCGCGGCTCAAATTCTTTAAATTCGGCCTCTGGTCTCTTTTGTCAGCGGATAAGTTAAAACGAAAAAAAAATACAAACGTTTAAGGATTAATTGTCGAATTACAGATAAAAACGAGATTGAAATCAAATAAAAGAAGCTGAACGCAATTCTTCCAGTTTATTCCCATGTGTACTATGTAACCCCCCCCCCCCTCTGCAAGGACAATATCAGACTAATTTGCTGACACGAAACCAATTATTTCAAGATCTCTGTAAAAGGAATTGTTAACATATTTGAAATTAGAAACGCAATTAAATAAATCTGTAAAAAGATACTTTATAGTGTTGTAGAGACTTCAGAGACTGTACGAAATGGTTCCTTAAACTTAAAACTTGTTCCTTTCCTTACAAAATCATATTTAAACTTATAAAAACAATTGTTCTAAGCAAAAATGTAGTTTAAACCTAAAAATGACGGCATTAAAGAGTTTTAGGTTGTCATTAGAGTCTAATCCTTTGTGAGTAACCCTCTAGATTAACAGAAAGTATTAAAGTTTGAGTTATTTCATATTTTTCTCTTTTAAAATTATGTATATATATAATTGTCGTCATATATATTAATACAACGAAACTAACTTTCTTTTCAATTTTGATTTTAGCCAACCTTTGAAACAGCTGCAGAGACACATGTTAATTGACAGCTTCTCATTGTTTACTTTTAAATGCTTGTTAGGGATCAAAGCATTATCAATAAAAAGTCGTCTTCATTTTACAGATATATTGTCCACCAATAATATAAGTATTCCATAGATATATAACATTAGTTGCATAAAGAAATGTTATTCACAAAACAAATATTTCCAATAAGGCATCCATCTTATTTATGTTAAAAGATGTCCTCAGGAATCCTGATTTAGGATGGGAAACACATCTAAAACAATAAAATCAGAGCAAAAAAAATGAAATCTTTTTCCGAATAAAAAGTAAACTTGTAAACAATCACAAATAATATAAACGTAATTAAAGAGATAATTAAATTAACAACAAGGCAAAAAAGTATGATTAAGTGAGGCAGAAGGAAAATAATTGAACTCAAAATAAAAACCTAATGAGGAATGTGAAATAATAACATGAGAAAAAGTCATCAGAAAAAAAGCATTTATTTGATAAGAAGCTAACTGCTTGTTCTTGACTTAGGACACAATCAAGGACTTCAACAAAAATTATTTCACAGAAGAATGCGCAAAGGAAACCAAAATAATTTTTATTTACTTGATAAATTAAAAGCCTCGAATAATTATTATTATTCCATTAACACGTTTTTCTAGAAAAAAATCCATTTTAATATTTTTGAGTAATAATTATTTTTATTAAAAAATGTTTCAACGTTAATTGGTTTTGTTAGTTTGACAGTTTGATGGTTAGCAACGCGACTCTGGACTCCCCAGCAGATATCCCTGTCTGTCACAGGTACGGCCTTGGATCGTTTTCTATTTTTTGAAAAACGATAATTTCGTTTTAAAAACGACGAAGAAAAACGTAAAACGAAACAGACATTTTTAAAAATGATCGTTTTTTAAAAGTAAAAAAAGAAATTGTCGTTTTTCACTTTTAGTTCGTCGGTTCGTTAATGAAGGTAAGTCTTTTTTAAATTTGACAATTTTGGTCGGAAGACACTTAGATCAGAAAAACCTTGGGTCATAAAACATTCAAGTCATTTCACTCGATGAAAAAAAAAAACATTTAAAACAATATTCATAACACTTATCTTCCTGAAAAAAAATTTGAAATTAATTGTCATAAAACTCAGATTCATTCGTGAATTTTTTTTCAAAAACGAATTGTATCATTTTATTCTTTTTCGTTGTTAAAACTTCAAAACGAGTGGTGCGTTCGTTGTGACCAACTGTTTATTCCAAAAACGATACTGTCGTTTTTAAAAAAAAACGAAACGCAAAACTTTAGTTTTTTTGGTCGTTTTAATAACGATCAACAACCCTAGTCACAGGTTAAATAGGTTTTATGTACTCGGACTGCATTGAAAAAGGTCCGAAATTTTCTTGAAAATTCATATTAAAATATTACTTCTTGTTTTTTATCATCATTATTTGTTCACAACTTATTACTTAAAATGTTCATAATAATTTATAAAAAATGTTTGACAGCTGGCTTCTTCTTAATTAAAAGGTCGACCATTAGTTTTCCAAATAAATATCTTTTGCATTTTGACGAAATAATATTTTTTGATGGAAAAGTTAAAAGCTTTTGTCACCTATTAAACGTTGATTAATTATTTTATAGAAAATTTTCCGGAGATTTTAGAAATGATAATCTTTCTGCATCTTCTGCAGTTGCATGGTTTCTCAGATCGGAAAAATGCAAATGAAGTTTTGTTTAAAGGGAGTGACCAGCAATGTATGGCGGTGGAACTGAATATGTGTATTGTGGACAAATTTTTTAGGATTCATTTGAGATATATAAAACTTTCTACGAAATATATTTACTGAGTTAGAGCGCAAAGTCGACGTTCAAAATCATGAATTTAGGTGGGTACGTTTACAGAATCGTTTTTATTAATTATTAAATAACGACAACCAAAAATGTAAACAAAATTCTATGGTAAGCTAATTAGTTGTTTAGGAACCATAGATAAAGATAGAATGCGCATAAGACAACATTTTTCATCTTGAAAGATATAAATGTACAGAGATGTTTTAAAGATATTCCTATTATATAGATTACCTAGGTCGGTTGTGAATATTAGCTGTTCTGAAGTCATTGAGTACTTGTGGTGTACATGAGTTCTGTAGAGAGAAATTTAAGTTAGTTTAGTCCTTCTCATGTCCTTCTTCAGTTCTCGTCAATATATTGCTCAGTGAAATATTGTTGTTCAGATAGTTCCATTCCCGGAGTTATTTTACACTCTATTATAAAATCCATTAAAACACCAAACCTTAGTCACAGGTTAAATAGGTTTTATGTACTCGGACTGCATTGAAAAAGGTCCGAAATTTTCTTGAAAATTCAAATTAAAATATTACTTCTTGTTTTTTTATCATCAGTATTTGTTCACAACTTATTACTTAAAATGTTCATAATAATTTATAAAAAATGTTTGACAGCTGGCAGCTGCTTATCATTGAAGTACACTTTGACCCCTAGAAGTATGAGTTCGCGGACTGTACAATTCTTGGTGATTTTGCGTACATAAGCTATCTATGTTTATTTATTTATCTATGTTAGGAATTTAAAAAAAAGTACCCACCCAAATTCATGATTTTAAACGTCGACTTTGCACTCATCTCAGTAATTATACATCGTGGAAACGTTTTATACGTCTCAAATGAATCCTAAAAATTTGTCTACAATACTGCATACTCGGTTTAACCACCATACATTGCCGTTCACTCCCTTTAATGAGTAATCAAGTAAAACTAGGGGCTTAAACAAGGTTTTTTGCCAGGGGGAGTGGGACTCAGCTATAGATAGGTGTGTTTCACTTTTTCCGATTGGTCGTTCATCGTTCGTTAAAGACTGCAAGATCGATGAATTAAATCGATTGTTCAGTAAGTTATAAAGCGATCGGTTTTTCTAATTAAGTTTGTTAAAAATCGTTAACTGTAAAAATCGATCGTTTATTTATTTCGTTCAAAAATTTTGCTCGTTAACTGACTGCAGCTAATCCAACAATGATAAAGGTCGTTAACTTTTTGAAGTCATTAATTTTTTCGTTCATTATTAAAAAATGATTTTCTCTAAACGATCTATTAATTGTTCGCCGATCCAAATTTTTCGGAACGACTCGTTGTGAGACCGGGCCGTGATGTGGTTTAATTGACTACCTTCTAAAAACATTAGAATTATCTTATTGGGGGGGAGGGGTCCCAGCAATATATACGATCAAGGACAACATTGTAGAATTTTTAACAACAATTGTGTTTTGTGATTTTTACCCTATTTTTTTATTTTGTTCATTGTCTTTGTTTTTTCAATTTTATATATTTTCATCAATTTACTCGTAAAGAATAATTCAAAGAATAATGAATACATTTTTGAAATTAATAAAAAGTTAGATATTGTAAAGAGATCATTTTTTAGTTTCCTTAATTGAAAAAAAATATTATGAGCTAGCTTTGAATTCGATATTAAGGAACTTTAAACATAATTTCAAGTGACTATCCATTCCTAGACTGGCTTGTCCGATTCACAACGGTACTCAAATCAAGATAGAATAAGTTGTCCATGTTTATCTTTTTAAATTTTAGTATTTTTAATTGTGTATTTTCTGCAAAAGTGACTTGCGCATTTCTAATGCCATAAGCAGAAATTGCGATAATTTAACTTTTTTCAAGAAAAAAAACGATAAGATCTTCCAGATGATCTGACAAGCGTTTACGGATTCCGTTGTAAATAGGACAAACCACTTCTTAAATGGATAATCACTTGGATTTGATAATCCAAAGGAATTTAAAATTTTTCAGAGAGAATTCTATTCTGTTCTTGCTGTTGATGTTGGGAACACTGTGGTTAGCAACAACACTTTACAATTTCAATCAGACTCCATACTTGCAGGTAGAGATGGGAATCAATCAGACTCCTTACTTGCAGGTAGAGATGGGCATCAATCAGACTCCATACTTGCAGGTAGAGATGGGCACCAATCAGACTCCATACTTGCAGGTAGAGATGGGCACCAATCAGACGCCTTACTTGCAGGTAGAGATGGGCATCAATCAGACTCCATACTTGCAGGTAGAGATGGGCACCAATCAGACTCCATACTTGCAGGTAGAGATGGGCATCAATCAGACTCCTTACTTGCAGGTAGAGATGGGCATCAATCAGACTCCATACTTGCAGGTAGAGATGGGCACCAATCAGACTCCATACTTGCAGGTAGAGATGGGCATCAATCAGACTCCTTACTTGCAGGTAGAGATGGGCAACAATCAGACGCCTTACTTGCAGGTAGAGATGGGCATCAATCAGACTCCTTGCTTACAGGTAGAGATGGGCATCAATCAGACTCCTTGCTTACAGGTAGAGATGGGCATCAATCAGACTCCATACTTGCAGGTAGAGATGGGCACCAATCAGACTCCTTACTTGCAGGTAGAGATGGGCACCAATCAGACGCCTTAATTGCAGGTAGAGATGGGCATCAATCAGACTCCTTGCTTACAGGTAGAGATGGGCATCAATTAGACTCCATACTTGCAGGTAGAGATGGGCACCCATCAGACTCCTTACTTGCAGGTAGAGATGGGCACCAATCAGACTCTTACTTCCAGGTAGAGATGGGCACCAATCAGACTCCTTACTTGCAGGTAAAGATGGGCACCAATCAGACTCCTTACTTGTAGGTAGAGATGGGCATCAATCAGACTCCTTGCTTGCAGGTAGAGATGGGCACCAATCAGACTCCTTACTTGCAGGTAGAGTTGGGCATCAATCAGACTCCTTACTTGCAGGTAGAGATGTGCATCAATCAGACTCCTTACTTGCAGGTAGAGATGGGCACCAATCAGACTCCTTACTTGCAGGTAGAGATGGGCACCAATCAGACTCCTTACTTGCAGGTAGAGTTGGGCATCAATCAGACTCCTTACTTGCAGGTAGAGATGGGCATCAATCAGACTCCTTACTTGCAGGTAGAGATGGGCACCAATCAGACTCCTTACTTCCAGGTAGAGATGGGCATCAATCAGACTCCTTACCTGTAGGTAGAGATGGGCATCGTTTTGAAAAATCGTTGATAAAAATACACTAATTTTTAAACTTTTGACAATCAACAAAAATTTTTGTTTTGTTTGAAATTTGTCTTAAGTAACAAACCTTTTTTTCTTTTTCAAAGGCAATCGCTATTCGTCTATTTTCCAGAAGAAACTTTAAAATGTCATTTTATTTCAACTTGTCATGTCCTTTTATAAACAATATCATGTAAGACATTAGAAACAACTGCTTAGATAATATTCAACCTTCTTTTTCTAAATTATTGTTCCCTTTCTAACTAGAGAAGGGGATCGGTTAAAAACTTTCGGAAAAATCGGCCGTTTTTTCTTGTTTAATTTGGATATGATCAAACCTTCACTTAAAATCTTTGAAAATGTTCATAGTTTTACTCTTAAAATGTTTGTTTCAATGGAACTCTAGAATTTGCTTATTACGTTGTCATGAATTTAAAATGTATATATTTAGGCGAATAAAAGAGAGATACTTGCTGATTATGCTTTACCAGTTGCAGTGGTTTCATTCAGGTAAATCAATCAATCAATCGATTGATCAATACTTGTCAATCAACTACATCTATATCTGTCAATCGATAAGAAAGTGCCATCCAGGCAATCATTCAATAAGCTACCTAACTAAACAATTTCTATGTTAATTAATTAATTAATCAATTATCAATTATCAATTATTCAATTATGAAACAACTGATTGTTCAATTATTACCCATTGTCCAATTATCTGACTAATTTGACTAATCAATGGAGAAATCATCTGTATAAAATAAGTTTTGAATAAAGTTTGAACAAATATTTGCCAAAAAAGCTAATGGAGTGTTTACTGTTTATTTCTAGTTTTATTGGAAGTGTTCTTTTCAAGGAAGTTTCATTAGATCAATTCCAAGCTAGAGAGGTAAATACTTTACACCTACCTACCTACCTACCTACCTACCTACCTACCTACCTACCTACCTACCTACCTACCTACCTACCTACCTACCTACCTACCTACCTACCTACCTACCTACCTACCTACCTACCTACCTACCTACCTACCTACCTACCTACCTACCTACCTACCTACCTACCTACCTACCTACCTACCTACCTACCTACCTACCTACCTACCTACCTACCTACCTACCTACCTACCTACCTACCTACCTACCTACCTACCTACCTACCTACCTACCTACCTACCTACCTACCTACCTACCTACCTACCTACCTACCTACCTACCTACCTACCTACCTACCTACCTACCTACCTACCTACCTACCTACCTACCTACCTACCTACCTACCTACCTACCTACCTACCTACCTACCTACCTACCTACCTACCTACCTACCTACCTACCTACCTACCTACCTACCTACCTACCTACCTACCTACCTACCTACCTACCTACCTACCTACCTACCTACCTACCTACCTACCTACCTACCTACCTACCTACCTACCTACCTACCTACCTACCTACCTACCTACCTACCTACCTACCTACCTACCTACCTACCTACCTACCTACCTACCTACCTACCTACCTACCTACCTACCTACCTACCTACCTACCTACCTACCTACCTACCTACCTACCTACCTACCAAACTACCTCCCTCTACCCATCCCAACCTTAATGCCTACCTACGTAGCTACATACCAATTTTTGTTTAGTGTAAAAGGGTTGCAATTTCCAACATTTTTCTTTGCGCTAAAATTTCCTTCCCGAGAAACTTTTCGTTTAACTATGTGTAGTTTAAATTATGAAAATTATTATCATCAAAATCCTCCAACATTTTGCAACACTATTCCATTTTAATGTTTGTTTTGTTTAAGCTGTTTACTGAACTATTTAGAAATATTTGCAACAAAGGTACTCAGTAGAGAGTAGGGAACGTACTTTGTATTTTATCTTTCCATCTTGCATGATTTTTTTATACTCATTTTCATACTCGGCATAAAAACGGATAAACTTGGCTTGTGTTCATGAATATTGTAAACTCCTGGGTTCAATTACGGGGACCACTAATAAGCTGCTGGAACAAGCAGTACAGTACACATACAGACTATATATATAAGTTGCTGAAGCAAGCAGTACAGTACACATACAGACATAGAGAATAGAATATATAGAGAGGAATTAAAAGAATCTCTCGGTATGAATTTTTTCAGTCCCTTTCAGCCTGAAAGGGAGTTCAAAGTGTACAAATCATGTAAATGTTCACAAATTTTATGCAGTAGAGTACATTAATACAGTATGTTCCCTAGACTATCCATTTCAATTTCGAATTTTTTAAACTGTTAAATAAACTTTATAATGAATTAGGTGAATAAAAACATCATTTGATTTATAGTTATAACGGAAAATCATCGTTTGTAAAGTGGAAGGCATAGAGTCTATGTGAAATGATCATTGGTCAATTATGAAACCATAATTTGGGTTTCTTTTAACAATAATTTGAGATTTTCTATATAATGATATTCCAGGGCCCAACAGGTTATATAGCATAAATTTGTGACGTACACCTGTGCAGTATGGATACAGTACAACAAAATGGCCGTTTTACACTTTTTTCAGTAAATCCTCTCTATATATTCTGTTCTCTATGCATACAGACTATATATAAGCTGCTTGAGCAAGCAGTACAGTACACATATAGACTATATATAAGCTGCTGGAGCAAGCAGTAAAGTTCACATACAGACTATATATAAGGCAAACCGGGAAAGAACACCCAATGAATCAGCCCCTTCAAGGGAGATACTAGTGGAAAACTCCTTGTTTTTCACTTGCGATTTTTCAAAAGAATTTATGTCAAGAATTTTCAGAATTTAATTCTTCTGAATACAGAGCAGCACTAAATTATTTTCCTCACTGTTACTACTTTTTATGCCGGGTTGCCGGAAATAATAACAACACTGTCTTTGAAAAGTATAAAAGGAATTGAGTTTTTGCCACAAACTCGCATTTTCTAACCCGTATATCTTTGCAACCTGAGGTTTTTCTTCCCGTCAAACTTGAAATTCTAGCTCTATTGCCATCTATTCTTATTCTATCTTGGTTTATATATTTTCTTTATTTTCTGCATGATAACAAAAAACTTTTCATAATCTTATTCATATTTCATATGTTTAAAATTTACAATATTGTTTACTTTATGTGTTAAACTAATTCATAAATGATTGTTTAGGTTCATGAAGTTTTCATACTTCCAGCCTGGTCAAACTTCTCTCTCAAGGTAACGGTCATGGTCATGGTCATGGTCATGATCATAGTCATGGTCATGATCATTATCATAGTCATGGTCATGGTCATGGTCATAGTCATTTTCATGGTCATGATCTAGGAAATGGCCATGGCCATGGTCATTGGTCATGGTAATGGCCATGGTCATTGGTCATGGTAATAGCCATGGTCATTGGTCATGGTAATGACCATGGTCATTGGTCAGGGTAATGGCCACGGTCATTAGTCATGGTAATGGCCATGTTCATGGTAATAGCAATGATTATAGTCATGGTCATGGTCTTATAGCATGATCATGGTCATGATAAAATTAGATGAAAATAATAATAATAATAATATCATAATATTAAATATTAATATTTTAATAATATAATATTAAAGGTTGTATTGTCTGGAATGATGTTAGGATTTCCTCTTTCTCTTCTGTTCTTCATGGATCAAAATATTGCCGAGAGTATGGTCAATAGCCCAGATAATAAACTAGTTAAAGGTATCATTATTATCATTGTTATCATTATTGTCATGATAATCTTTATGATTATTATCATCATGATTTTTAATATTCTTATGGTTACTATTTCAGCCCTTGGCATTTTTTGATAATCTTTATAATCATTAATTATCATTAAAACTATAAGAATTATTACTTTCATTATTGATCTTTTCCTTCATGATAATTATCGTCAAATCTAATTAGAATTATTGTTATTGATGTGACAATCTTTATCTGCTATGGCTGTTTTCCTTCCGTTGAGAATAAATAGAAATCATATATGTTTTATTGCTTAATCTGTCTTATTTTCAACGGAAAAATAAATTATTAGATTAGATTAGATAAGAATTTATATTGTAAATGTTTTCAAAATCATCATTAAAATTACTGGTTCGCTTAATCCGCATCTTTTTTGCTCCATGATTGCAAAATATACAAATAACACTGAATCCGAATCTACTTTTTTGAAGTCGTATTTATTATTCAGATTCGGATCCAAGTCAAAATCATCATCATAATTAGTGGTTCGCTTAATCCGCATCTTTTTTGCTCCATGATTGCAAAATTTCAACCAAAATATACAAACAACACTAGATCCGAATCTACTTTTTTCTAGTCGTATTTAATATTCAGATCCGCATCCGAGTCAAAATAAATATAAGCCTTGAACAAAATTATTAAAATTGTATTCTCTTGTCATTATAATACTAATATTATTTAAATAGAATGGTTATTTCTAGATATAACAAGCTTTTTGACAAAGATAAATGTCATGATTTCTATATTGAAATTGATCATGAAATGAGCATTAATGATAAAGTGTACAATAGTTTTATAAAATTATTATCATTTAGTATTATTAACATTTCTGAATAAAGATTCCAACAGAATTGTAAGATTTAACAGTATTCCCTTTACAACTATTTCACAATCATAACACCACTCTGCACTATGCCCCCAATTGATGACATGTAAAAAGAACATAGAATCAGTAACCTTGTCTCAAATATTCTAATTGGAGTCTCTGTTAAACTTATTCCAAGGTGAGATAAAAGTTCGCTTAATTCTGAAAAAAAGAATCGTTTTAAGAAATTTTGAACATTTAAGACTAAAGTGAAACTAAGAGAATCTTCAAAATTAACTATTCTATTCTCCATCTTCTTTTATATTTGGATTTGAATATTCTGAAAACAAAAAGTTTTGCAACAAACTTTTTATATGACAAGTCATTTATTTGTTTTGTAGAAGCCAGCACAAATTAAATGATTTAGAAGAATTCAAAGATGGGAGAATTTAGGATTTAGCAGAATTAAAGACTGTTGAAGCAAGAAATACGGCGATATCTGCTACATTTTTTATCATTTTAATTATTTGTGACGTGAACCATTCATTTAAAATTATAACGACAATTCCGTAAAAATCTTTTATCAAATTTTGAAAAGATATTTTATGAATTTTTTAGAAATATAAAAAATTGGTTTTCAATGATTCCTTTATATTAAATGTCTTTTAATCTAGTTTTTATATAAAAGGAAACCTATTCTAGGATTAATTGAACAAATTAATTTTGTTGGTTACTAGAAAACCAAACAAAAGTCTTCTTAAAAACCAAATAATATTTTTTCTACTTCTATATAATTTGTTTGTCACAGTACAGGCCAACAGTCAGATTTCATAAAATTGCCAACAAAATATAAATAAGATTAAAAGTTTTTGAAAACGGCCAGTAAACACAAAAATCTTCTAAATCTTGAATTGCTGAGCGGAGATTCCTAGATAACTAATAAAAACCACAAGCTTGGCTTCGGAAACCCCAAATTTTTATTGGAGATTCAACGCTGTTCATCAGAGATCCCAAGATTTTCCTTGGAGACCCAATAATTTTAACAAAGATTCCCAAGCTTTTCAACGGAGACCCCCAGATATTCATTGGAGACCAAACCATGCTTTTCATTAGAGACCCCAGATTTTCATTGGAGATCCCCAATATTATCATCGGAGACCTCAATTAAAAGCTAGAGGTCTCCAATATAAGATCTGAGTTGTTCTCCGATAGTACTCCAATGATAATGATATCTTCCCGGACTCTAAACTTTTGTACGAAGGAACATGATGGCAAGGAAACAATAAAATCAAAAAGGGAGACTAACAGTCTAGCATTTGAACCAAGTAACTAGTGTCAACTTTAATTCGAACCGGACTGACCGGCCTTAATGAAGCGTGGCGAGTACCGAATCGACCCTATCCTTAGCCAGCTCTGTTTTAACTTTGATGGCACGGCCAAACCTCTTTCAGTACCCGGCCTATCATATAGGCATATTTGACCTTCACCCAATACCTTTATTTAATGTGACATTCGACCTTATTTTTATAGATTTGGCCTTTAATTGTTATTTTTATATTTTAAGACCCTTGAACTATATACCTATTCCTGTTCTGGATGGACTTTTTCTATACTTAGGTAAATATCTATCTATCCTTTATACAAATCTTATCCTGTTCATCTATTTATCTACATATCCATCTATCAATATTTATATCTATCTATCTATCTATTTATCTAAATATCCTTTATGCATATTTATTTTTAAACACATCTACCTATCTATATATCTATCTATCTATTTATATGTCTATCTATTTATCTATCTAGCTGTGACAGCAGTGTCTGGAAATCAAATGTTTGAAAGATTACAGCTCCTGTTCATGGAGCAGACTGCGTATCCTCCAAACCATTACATTAGGTAAACATTTCATTATTTACTTCTTCAGAGTCTTTGAATTGATTTTTTTATGAATGATTGATTTGATTTGATTTGATTTGTTTTGAATTATTTTGATTTATTTTGATATGATCAAATTTTATAAGATTTGATTTTTAATATATGATTTTATCTATCTTTATCTATAATTTTATAATATTTGATGACTTTTTATATGATTTGATTTGACCAAATATTTACGATAAACGATAATAAATTGTCAAAAAAGTATATAGAAAAATTTTCTTATTTCTACTACTAAAAATAAGTACTAAGGAAAAAATATCACATAATTGTGTTCTGATTTTTTTTTCTTGAAGGAAATAACTTTATGACTGTTGTCCTTTGTTTTTACTTCCTGTCGTTGAATATCCGGAAAAAATCCTTAATAAAAATATGACTTTTTTCTTTCTGACTTTAATTGACTTTGGAGTTTTTTGCTGTTGTTTTATTTCTCCAAATACTTTCTGAAATGAATTCGTTGGAGGAAATCCTAATTTTTTAAATGTCAAATCCGAATGGACTGAACACTCTGATTTGGGTTCACAATTTACTCATTGACCGGATATGTTGGCCTTCAAATCCTTCCGTAAGAGCAAGGACAAATTAAAATTATTTTTACAGTTTTCATTATTTTCATGCTGATTTTGCTTAGGAGAGTTCCACAACGAAAAATTCATCAATTTACTGCATGCCAGGTATGCTTATAATTACATTTACATTTACATTTACATGTACATTTACAATTTACATTTACCATTACTATTACTTTTACATTTACATAACATTTCACATTTACTTTTACATTTACATTTCCATTTACATTTTCATTTACACTTACAGGTCCTTTCAAATTTACTTTTACATTTACATTTAGATATATTTACATTTTTTCCCAATTTATTTTACATTTACTTTCACAATTACTTTTACATTTACATTTTCACTTACATTTACATTCCCATTTACTTTTACATTTACATTTACATTTACATTTACTTTCACATTAACTTTTACTTTCAAATTTACATTTACATTTACTTTCACTATTTTATTTATCGATTTTGATGGTTATTATATCGTTAGAACTGACGAGGGTCAACCCAAACCGAAATATATTTTCAATAAATGTGGAACTAACATCTACTTTTTTACTCTACAGAGGTTTGGTCCATCACCATCACCGAATTTTAAATTTACTTTCACAATTACTGTTACATTTACATTTACTCTCACATTTACATTTACTTTTACATTTACTTTTACTTTCACCTTTACATTTACATTTTCCTCCACATTTAATTTTACGTTTACATTTACTTTCTGATTCACATATACTTTCACATTTACATTTACATTTATTTATATTTACATTTTTGAATTTTATTCTTTGGATTGAGTTTTGGAACATTTTTCTAAATCAGATCTATCTCTTTCTAAAGTAATATTGGAATAAATTAAATCTGCTGTATGACTATGTTATTTCTTAGAAAAAGACAAAAATTCGAATTTAAGTATTCAACTGTTAAAAAAAGGCATCTATCGAGTTAAAAATGACAAAAGAAGTATGCATTAGTGTTATAAAAAGCTAAACCTTATCAAAAATACATTTTAAAATTTAAAGACCTGTGATAAGGGAGATGTTAAAAAACTTAAATACCAGTTGAAACAATAAGGAAAGAATTTCTCTACGGCGGACCAAGAAATCATCATGATTAATGTGCCACTCTGTACAATACACAATAAAGTTAAATGAAATTCTTTCGAAACGAAAACAAATATTTCGTATATATTGGGACTGTAAGATTAATTTCAAGTGACCTCCTATGCAGAGAGAGCAACGTCCGATTAACAAAGGTACCCTTAAAGCATTTGAAAGTTTGTCGATTAAAGTGTGTTTAAACTTATTGTAAACCGATTGTTTACAGTTGTACATTTAAGAGTGCGCTGTGTACAGTCTCAACTCAACACAGCGCAAACTCGACTCCACGAACACATAAAGGTTTTAAGCATAGAGAATAGAATATATAGAGAGGAATTAAAAGAAGCTCTCGGTATGAATTTTTTCAGTCCCTTTCAGCCTGAAAGGGAGTTCAAAGTGTACAAATCATGTAAATGTTTACAAATTATATGCAGTAGAGTATTAATACAGTATGTTCCCTAGACTATTCATTTCAATTTCGAATTTTTTAAACTGTTAAATAAACTTTATAATGAATTAGTTGAATTAAAACATCATTTGATTTATAGTTATAACGGAAAATCATCGTTTGTAAAGTGGAAGGCTTAGAGTCTATGTGAAATGATCATTGGTCAATTATGAAACCAGCCTATTTCATAATTTGGTTTTCTTTTAACAATAATTTTAGATTTTCTATATAATGATATTCCAGGGCCCAAAAGGTTATATAGCATAAATATGTGAAATACACCTGCAGTATGGAAACAGTGCAACAAAATGGCCGTTTTACACTTTTTTCTAGTAAATTCCTCTCTATATATTCTATTCTCTATGGTTTTATGGGTACCTCTGGGCATCGAGGGGCACTTGAAATTACGCTAATAGTCCCTTTAAGGTGGTTCAGCTACTACTACTGTGTGTACTGGGCTTCTGGCCGTATCCCTATATAAAGATGATTTTCCCTCTTATGCTGTTTTCCTTCCTGCCTATCAGAATGCTAATCATTCCAAGGTATAATAATAATCATAATAATAATAATTATAAATCCTGTGCTTTATTTTAGTTAGGGTTTTTAATCGGAATTCCGTTGCGCGGAATTGCGCGCAACTGTTCTCGAATTATGCTGAATTGCGCGAAATTACGCGGGAATTGCAGAGCTCGCAAACGCTGGCAAGTAAAATCCATTCGCGTTGGAAACCCTAATTTTAATTAAAATTAAAATCTATACTTAAAATTTAATTTAAAAAAGAGATTTTTAAGCTACTGCAGGCTACTATTAGCCTTGTTACGCGATCAAATTCACTTAAAGATCGATTTAATGTCGTCGTTCTATTCCTCCAGTTTTTTGGTGTTATATAAATGCCAGTCAATTCGTGGATTTTAGATAACGAACAGATCATTCAGCAGCTGTTAGTTTTTAAGTTCTGATAACATTTTTTCTTGTTCATTAATAAAGTTGCTATTCGTTAACAATTTTCACTTTTTAACTGCTTTAATTGTAGATATACAAAATATTCATTGTTAACTTCATTCACCGTTAACGACTGTTCAGTTCGTTAACGAAAGTTGAACCTCTATCTAATGAATGGTTTTGTTCGTTGACAAAGTTGACAATCCTTAATGATTTTTTTAAGGTTTATTGAAAATAAATTCCTTCAAGTTTTGGATGGAATCCATCAATGACAGGAACCAGCCCCCCTTCAGGGGCACAAGGCCCTTCTTCCTGGGCAAACTCAACCTGGACCTTATCAATGGACAGGGTCGAAAATGCCCCCACCTCCCCCTCCAACCCAAACTATTGCCACATTCTCCCCGCCCCCTCTTCTTAGTACTTCAGCTCGGGGACCTCTTCAACGTAGAAAGGTAAAACAGTTCATCCTTGAGAATAAAATCATTGGCTTAAAGGTAATATCGTTTGGTAAGCTGAAAATTGGTAACCTGATAATTTGGTAATCTAACAATTTGGCAACCTGACAATTTGGTAACCTGTCAATTTGGTAACCTGACAATTTGGTAACCTGACAATTTTCTAACCTGACAATTTGCTAACCTGACAATTTGCTAACCTGACAATTAGGTAACCTGACAATTAGGTAACCTGACAATTAGGTAACCTGACAATTTACTAACTTAACAATTTCCTAACTTGACAATTGGTAACCTGACAATTTGCTGATCTAGCCATTTGGTAACCTGACAATTGATAACCCGACAATTTGCTAACCTGACAATTGGTAACCCGACAATTTGCTAACCTGACAATTTGGTAACCTGACAATTTGGTAACCTGACAATTTGGTAACCTGAAAATTTGGTAACCTGACAATGTGGTAACCTGACAATTGGTAACCTGACAGTTTGGTAACCTGACAATTTGGTGACCTGACTATTTGGAAACCTGTCAATTTGGTAACCTGAAAATGTGCTAACTTGACAATTTGCTAACCTGCCAATTTGCTAACCTGCCAATTTTCAAACCTGAAAATTTGCTAACCTGCCAATTTGGTAACCTGGCAGTTTTAAACCTTACAGTTTTGTAACCTGACAATTTGGTAATTTATATTTATATGTTAAGCTGATTGAGAAAGCTGCCCCAGAAGCTGTATCAACCCGTAGAAATGTATTAATAGTACCTAATAAACCTAAGAAAGCTGTACCCAGCATGTTAAGGTGAGAAAAAAGTTATTATTCCAGTAGAAAAGGTTCACCAAGGAGCTCAAAGTTCTCGACAACAAGAAGTAGTTGGAGATATTTAACTATAAAGCAATAATCAGAACAGCTTCTCAGTTTTCATATTTATTAACCCTATTCCTGCTGGGGGGGGGGTCAGAGTTTGACAGAAAGGATTGAAACCGGATTTTGAAAATAATTCTCAATTTCAATTTCAATCATTTTTCAACTTACCACACCACCAGTTTGGAATTTTAAAACAGTTTTCGTCCCTTCATTCAATATTGTTAGGTAGTTCAGAAAAACCCTTTAATTAAACTCTTAAATACGCTTATAGCTGCTAACTCCTTGTTTAATAATAAACGTTGTAAAATAGACAAATGTTAACCTTTTTTCATAGTTTAGTGCATTTTTTAGCGGTATCGTTATCTCAAGTCTCAATGCACATCTACGCGCAAGTATTTATCTATTGTTGTGGTCGTACCAGAGCTGGGAACTTTTGTGTTCGATACACACAACCCAGATCCACACAATCCAGATCCACACAAGCATTGATCTCGATATCCAAAATAGAAGTGCTTGATCTCGATATCCACAATATAAATGCTTGATCTCGATATCCAAAATAGAAATACTTGATCTCGATATCCACAGTAGAAATGCTTGATCTCGATATTCACAATAGAAATGCTTGATCTCATTATCCACAATAGAAATGCTTGATCTGGATATCCACAATAGAAAACCCACCTCAGGGATAATTAAAATGATGGTATCAGGCATTGATCCTTTTATTTCAGCGTGTCCATGCCTTGAATATCGAGATCAAACATTAAAAATAAACGATCCTCAATTTTTTACTTTATATCATATATTTAGGCAGGAGAGTAGAATAAAGCTGCAGAGTACAGGGGCTGGTCATCTCCAGGTCACTCGGGCTCTCTCTCTCAACACTGGGAACCCCCTCGGTAAAACCGGTTCTTTGAAGAGTCTTGATATTCGTTCTTCCCGGCACAGAGGGTTCCGGTCCCACTCTAATATGAGAGAACTGGAGTGTGCAGGCGTAGACCTGGATCTTGGTCTGCCCAAGACAGGAGTAGGGGTTACAACTGATATTTGTCCAGGAGACTGCTTTAAATCATTAAACGGTGCTGAAAGTATTGACTATCAAGCTCATATCACACACTTAAACTCTTCAGCTCAGTTAAGCTCACCCGACGGAGGTTCGTCTATGCATTCTACAATTGATAGAAGTTCCTCCAATCATACCTCGTTAAATTTACAATCATACAGCCCGCCTCTTCTCTTCATGGGACCAGAGTCTCCTGGTCATCAGAATAGTTTTATCAACTCTTCTCCCACTCATCCTTAAACAAAAACATCGGAACTTCGTAAGATTATTTTTACATTAAGGCTTCCCCACAAAGGATGAGAAAGTAAAGACGACTTTAACTTAACTTAAAAAATATAACGTCCCTAAGTTTGAATTAAGTCTTCTGGCGCGGATAAAGTCATAAAGTCAGTATATATTTCGTATAGTCGTCTCTGAAGTCTCATTCTTTGTTGGTAACCCTGTAGAAAAGTACAAGGCATTTTTGGCAATATTCTTCCTTCAAAAAAACTATGTTTTTTCTTATGTTTTGCCTTAAACTAATCGTGATTCGTGAGTTTTTAAAAAAGGCTTATATGCTGTATTTAAAAAATGTCGAATTTTAAGAAAATGCATCTCATAATTTTTTTAAAAGTTTTACATCAGTAAATCAGGTTAACAAAAGCGGGAATTTTTCCTAATCCGACATTTTTTTTTCTTAAATTAAATATACCATAAGCTTTATTAAATTTCACTGAATATAAAGGTCAAGAAAAAATGCCAAAGACCAACTTTCTAATGACCAATTTAGTTAGGTTAATCCCCCCCCCCCCCCAATTCTATTTCCTAAAATCCACCTGCTCCTGGCTTCAGATCAATAGTTAAACCAACAAGAAAATTTAAATAATTAAAATCTTCTACAAACTTAAATTCATGTTTTTTGTTAAAGGAATATCATTTTCTTTTTTCTAATTATTGCTTGAGTTTTATTGGGCAAAAAATACAAGTCTCACAAAATGTTTTCCATCTCTGTATGTTGTTTACAAATATTAGAAAACATTATAAAGTTCTGGCTAAATTTTGATAAGGAATATTTATTACACAAATGTTATTTATTTACTTATAAATATATAATTAATGAGCGAATTGAAAATATTTCCCATATACAAAAGATCATGTTATGTTTAGTATTAAACAAAAGTATAATTAATTGTGATTAAACTGATTTTTCAATGCAATAAAACTTATTTTACTTTTGGATTGAAATACGAATTTTATTGTTTTGATCCATTAATTGAAAATAAAATGTGTACAACAATTTTCCTCTAAATTCAAAACTTTTGAATTAATCGACCAAATTTAAACCAATTCTTACGAGCTATTCTTTTATCTCTTCTTTCGGAACTAAATTTAATGAATTTTAGCTAAGTTGCTGAACTGTATAGTGTCAGTTCAAATTTGAATCACCGATTCATGAATAAAGATTAAGGAAGAATTTAAATCGGTGATCACTGATCAGTCAAATTTGAGCCGGCGCGACGGTAGGCAGTTCACATTCATTAAACAGAGATGGAATTTAAAGAATTTGAGCCGCCGTTTAAATCTGCCAAAACCCGGTTTAAATTAAGCGCCGGCTTAAATCTTGAAACATTTAATACAATTTTAAGTGGAACCAGCCATATTTAAGCCGCGGCTTAAATTTAAACCGCCGCTCAAATTCTTAAAATCCGGCCACAGAATTATCAAAATTTCAAAAAGCTTTAAAAAATGAACTAATAATTATTTGATTCTCAGAATTCAAAAGTTTCAATTTGTCATTGACGCTTAAGTCAGCTAGCTTAATCCCATCACATTTCAACTTCTATTGGTGGATGTAATGAAAATGGTGCAATAAGCTGTAGAAGCGCACAAAATGTTATTTGTTATTTAGTAAAAAATATGTAAAATTGTAGTTATAATATAGTGCAGTTTAGATACAAAAACAATGTAAGTTAAGTTCATAAATTTGTGTTTAAACGTCTTAAAAGAGATTATTTACAAGTTGTGTATTTTGTATTTTGTACAAACACTGGCTCTAGATTTTAGATGAATAATGTGATTTAGAATTTGATAATTGTTTAGGCATTTAGAACTTCATTTATTAGAAACCTTGATAATGATAAAACATAGTTTAAGCAGAATGTGAAACAAAACGCAGTTGTTAATTAAAAATCCATTCTCAATTTAAACACTTTTTGAATATATGATCTAAATGGGCAATTGCAATAAAGTTAGAATTTTACATCAGTCCAAACGGTCCGTGTAATCATAACATACATTACTTGTACTGGCCAGTCTGGTGGACTATATTGATGTGAATTATTTGCGGCAAACACATTCTCCTTACCCTGTGTATATTGTAGCATTGTTCCCCATATTATTTTGATTGCGGTATTTGAAAGCGTTGAGGATAAAGCTTATTATTATTTTCATTGGTATTATTAATATCATTGGTATTATAATTATCATTGGTATTATTATTATCATTGGTATTATTATTATCATTGGTATTATTATCATTGGTATTATTATTATCATTGGTATTATTAATATCATTGGTATTATAATTTTTATTGGTATTATTATTATCATTGGTATTATTAATATCATTGGTATTATAATTATCATTGTATTATTATTATCATTGGTATTATTATTATCATTGGTATTATTATTATCAATTGTATTATTAATAGCATTGGTATTATTATTATCATTGGTATTATTAATATCATTGGTATTATAATTTTCATTGGTATTATTATTATCATTGGTATTATTATTATCATTGGTATTATTATTTTCATTGGTATTATTAACATCATTGGTATTATAATTATCATTGTATTATTATTATCATTGGTATTATTATTATCATTGGTATTATAATTTTCATTGGTATTATTAATATCATTGGTATTATAATTATCATTGGTATTATTATTATCATTGGTATTATAATTATCATTGGTATTATATCATTGGTATTATAATTATCATTGGTATTATTATTATCATTGGTATTATTACTATCATGCTTTTATATTATCCCATCGTTTCCAACTGCAACTGTTAAAAATGAAAAATTATTTATTTATAAAAATATATATCATATTATTTAGAAATAAAGGTAATCTATTTTGATTATTATTTAATAATATTTTTGGGATGCAAGATAGCCTATAGGCTGATCTGCATAATGGAAATATTATATATAATATGGATTGATTATATAATCTCTGTTTCGGAACAGTATAATACTAATATAGTTAATTTCATTTTTCCCTTGGACTGAATAGGAGACGTAATCGATTCACACTTGTACCCTTCAGAGAAGGATACCGTCTTAAAAAGTGCAAAATTCTAACAATTTAATACAATGCTTTTCAGCTATAAGCATAAATTCGGAAATTATTTGTACAGTGAAAATACGACTGAAAATATTCAGTTTTCATTAAATAAGTCTCAATATCACAGAATTTAGGTTCAGATGGGGAGAGATGATACTTTGTCACTTTATGCAATCTCTAACTCTCACTTTTGTCGATGTAACACGTACTTTATTCTCATCATCTGTATGTATGCCCTTCCATGTCTTGAAACAGTTTCGTCCCCTTGCTATCCTTCTACCTTTAACACTACACCTTCCAGCTCCCTCAAATCCACACCTTCTCCTACGTTCCTCCTCTCCCAATCCATATTCATATATCCCTCAGCCACGCACCTCTGACCCTTTAGTAGAAGTAAATTCAACCTAATGTCTGACCGCGTCAACCTTGTTGCAACGGGTAGTCCTATCGAGTGTCTGCTTTATTTACTAAATTTCCGGGCAATACAGTAGAAACTAGGACCGGAAAGGTTGACCCGGCTCAGCAATTCAAATGTACTACGGCTGCACGTGCAACGCTTGTATCCATCTCTCCAGGGGCGTACGAGGGCTTTTTTTTTGGGTCCCCCCCCTTGGCAACATTGTGCCCCCCCCCTTAAAAACACCTTTTTTAAATTTTNTCTTTAGAAGGCTAAAACTTCTCTCTCCTTGTATTAACAGTAAATTTAGACAAATCCTTAGTCTTTGTCATTGTCAGGTGTTACTTTTTAAACGTAGTTTCCTTTTAATTTAGTATTTTCCAGGGGGGGCAGGACCCCGCCTGGAACTCTCAGGGGGGGGGCAAGAGGACTCCTACCCCCCCTAGGTACGCCACTGTGTCTGGCCTAAGGAAGGGAAATGCAAGCAGATGTAATATCAAAATTGCCTCCCCCATGGGTGCCCCCCTCAGCCTCTCAGGGGGGGCACGCGTAGATTGGAGCGGCCCCCCCTCGTACGCCCCTGAAAGTATGTGAAGATGTGGTGTGGTTGACAATTGTAGTGTTTTCAACTATTCTTGTACAAAGACAACAGTACACTTTAAAGACGGGCTCTTCGGAATTTGTGAGTTCGTGCAAAAACAATGTAATTAAGGAGGGGGAAACCATGAGGCATTGTATGCAAAAAAAATGGACGATGACAGCTGATTTGTTAAAAAAAACATGGACGATGACAGCTGATTTGTTAAAAAAGCTTGTGATGGAAGTTGTGCCACATGCTGTCTAAAATGCAATAAAGGGGATTCATGATGTTCCATATTGAATCGGAAATGTTACTTTGTATATATGTGAATGTTACTATATATATATATATATATGTGAATGTTACTATATATAAATATGTGAATGTTACTATATATATGTGAACGCTACAAATAACAAAACTTGTTTAAACCGCTACAAATAACAAAACCTCTCAAATTTAAAAGTTTGAAAAAAAATTACTTTTATCCCAACAAATTTAAATGTACACATATATCAGAAATAACCAGTCATAATTGTCTATACGTATATGATGTCAAAAACATGAGACTGCAAAACTTATTTTAGTAAATTCTATGATGTACAGGGTTAACCACAAGGGATGAGACTGAAAGACGATTAAAACTTTAAATGTATGACGATCCCAAGGTTGAAATAAGTCTCTTGAGGCCGAGTTTAAAGAATTTGAGCCGCGGCTTTAATTTAAGCCGTGGATCAAATATGGTTGGTTCCACTTAAAATTCTATTCAATTTTTCAAGATTTAAGCCGGCGCTCAATTGAAACGGCTTTTTGGCAGATTTATGCCGCGGTTCAAATTTATTTAATTCGGACACTGGATTTATTCAAGTCATGGAATGGCTGATCAGTGATTAAATTATTTGGCAAAGAAAGAAACAATATTACAGTAGTGGGGAATCATGATTATGAAGAATAAAATTCGCACAGTCGTCTCTGAAGTCTTATTCTTTGTTGGTCACCCTGTGCCGGTGTGAATAAAAGCTAAATTAATGTCATGCCTATAGGAAGAACAAGACCAGTGATAACATATAATAAATAGAAATCTTTCTGGGTAAATAATGACTTTGATTCTTTCTTCAAGTAAGCAACTTTATAATGAGAACCTTGAATACAAAAGTCCCCCATGCCCTCACAAAAAAATATAAAAAAAGGTACTAATGCAAGGAAAGTTATTTCAGAGGTGTACGCATTTTTTGTACTGCAGTGTACTGTCTTTGGGCGGAAAAGTAAACACAAGACGGATGGCACAGTCTGACATGGAATCCATTTTCACAAAAATAATCTAATAATGTTCTTTGCGTTAGTACCGTTTTATGACAGAAGCGCTCTAAGAAATATGAAATTTTATTGAATGATAAATTTCATTTAATGACATTTAAAGAATAATGCAGTTTTTACTAAGTTGAATTTTCCTAGATAAAGATTTTACATTTCATAGAGTATATACAGTATTATTAATACAAGGTTTTCTATTTATTTTCATTCCTTTCTTATTAATAAATTGAACATTACTATTTTCCTATGTTCCTGCAAAGTCGAAAATTTAGAAAGAGAAAGAGGCCTCATAAGTTTATTCCGTTGTAAAAAGAATTTCTGAAAAATCTGGAAAAACTTTTCTGCGAAATGTGTTTGTTTTCCTCCAACAAGAAGCGGAGACGGTAGAATGAATCCAAAAAAGTTAACTACTCCGTACAATAAACCTTTAAAACTACTCCATACAATAAACCTTTAAAACTACTCCGTACAATAAACCTTTTAAACTACTCCGTACAATAAACCTTTAAAACTACTCCGTACAATAAAACCTTTAAAACTACTCCGTACAATAAACCTTTAAAACTACTCCATACAATAAACCTTTAAAACTACTCCGTACAATAAACCTTTAAAACTACTCCGTACAATAAACCTTTAAAACTACTCCGTACAATAAACCTTTAAAGCTACTCCGTACAATAAACCTTTAAAACTACTCCGTACAATGAACCTTTAAAACTAATCCGTACAATAAACCTTTAAACTTTTAAAACCCAAATAAGAACTGTTGAAAAAAGGGAGATTATAAAAAGTTTAAGTAAAAAAAAATAAGCGAAAAAAGTTTCAGTTTTATCAAGATCGGTTAAAAAAAATTGCAGAACATAAAACTTTTGTATGTTTCGAGGTGTCCCAATATCTGATTAATCTAGGATATACAGGGTGTCCCAAATATCTTAATATGCAGGGTGTCCCAATTTATGATTAAAGACATTTCTGCTCTGTTAAAAAAATTCAGTAAATCTAAAAGAAATTTTCATGACCTGGATCCGGATACGGATCCGAATCTGAATCCATTTTTATCCAGTCCAAATCCAGGATCCGCATCAAAATTAAATGAATCCTAAGTGCTGATCGAGATAATTGATGAAAATAATATTTTAGAAAAATTTGACTTGACTTTATGCCTAAAAAAATAGCAAAGGGGGTCAAATTTGTTAAGAAAAAAAACATCTTTGTCTTTTTATATTTTTATCGGCTCTAATACCTGCAATTATCTAAATATGAATTTTGGTGTTTTCTGTAGATTTACAAAACTCTCATTGCAGAAATTTAATATAGGATCTTTTGTGCGGAATTAGATATTGTTAATCTTGAATGATTGATCTTGATATCCCATGTGGGTGCTATGGAAACGCCTCAACACGGAAACGTCTCAACGCGGAAATGCCCCAAAAACCGGTTTTGAGGAATTTCCGTTTTATTTTGGGAAATCCCTCAAAACTGGAAAATGTTGAGGGATTTCCGAATATTTTTGAGGCGTTTCCTAAAATTTAAAGTTTAGGTGTTTCCTCTCTTTTTTTGAGGCGTTTCCGTTTTTTTGAGGCGTTTCCGTTTTTTAAAAAAGTTTTTAACTTTATTTTGTTGAGGCGTTTCCTCTTTTTTTTGAGGCGTTTCCGTTTTTTTTGAGGCGTTTCCGTTTTTTGAAAAAACTTGTTAAACTTTATTTTGTTGAGGCATTTCCTCTTTTTTTTTTGAGGCGTTTCCGTTTTTTTAGGCGTTTTGGTTTTTTGAAAAAAACTTTTAAAACTTTATTTTGTTGAAACTTTTCCTCTTTTTTTGAGGCGTTTCCGTTTTTTGAAAAAAACTTTTAAAACTTTATTTTGTTGAGACGTTTCCGTTTTTTTTTGAGGCGTTTCCGTTTTTTGAAAAAACTTTTTAACTTTATTTTGTTGAGACGCTTCGGTTTTTTTGAGGCTTTTCCGTTTTTTTGAGGCGTTTCCGTTTTTTTTTGAGGCGTTTCCGAATTTTGAAAAAACTTTTAAAACTTTATTTTGTTGAGGCGTTTCCTCTTTTTTTTTAGGCATTTCCGCTTTTTTTAAGGCGTTTCCATATTTTGAAAAAACTTTTAAAACTTTATTTTGTTGAGGCGTTTCCGCTTTTTTTTTGAGGCGTTTCCGTTTTTTTGAAAAAAAACTTTTTAAACTTTATTTTGTTGAGACGTTTCCTCTTCTTTTTGAGGCGTTTCCGTTTTTTTGAGGCATTTCCGTTTTGAAAAAAAACAATTTTTAAACTTTATTTGTTGAGGCATTCCCTCTTTTTCCGTTTGTTAAAAAAAACTTTGTTCCTTTCTTTAAAAATCTTTCCCCCTTTCCAAAATAATTAATCTCCTCCCAGAAATTAAACACCATGAGGTTTCAAAGAAATAGGGATTAGAAAAAATGAGAAAAACATTTTTTAGGGTTTTCAGGGTTTTAATTGCTGAATTTTTGGGTAAAAACTAAAAATAATCAAAAATGATGAAAATTTGCCTGTTAATGCATCCAATTTATCTTTTTGGTAATTTCCTAGAAAATTGGTAATTTTATTCAATGCAATAGACGGCGTTTCTATTTAAGTTTTAATTTCTAACAATGTTATTTAAAAATGTCTGTCTGATTGGTAATGTTACAACGTCTATACGCAACATCCTCTATACTGAACTTCCGACCAACTAATTTCCCGACCTACAACAGCTGTTGGTCGGTTGCACATTTTTTTTCTTTAATCCGACCTATACAGGCGTGATAGAGTTCTAGCATGTGCTGCATGGAGCAAGTTTGATTTAGAAGGCAGCGATATACCCTTTTTTAAGTCAGATATGTTATACCACTTGTTTTAGGTCGGATGTACACTTTTTGTAGGTCGGATTTACAATTTTCATAGGTCGAATGTACACTTTTTGTAGGTCGGATGTACACTTTTTTTTAGGTTCTATGTACACTTTTTGTAGGTCAGATATACACTTTTTGTAGGTCGGATATACACTTTTCGTAGGTCATATGTACACTTTTTGTAGGTCGGATGTACACTTTTTGTAGGTCAGATGGTACCATCAATTGTTGGTTGGATGTACACTTTTTGTAGGTCGTATGCACAACTTCTGTAGGTCAGATGCACACTTTTTATAAGTTCCCAAGTAACAAAAGTGAGGAATTTCCCCAGATTGTCCAACCGGGGTGACTTTTTTGGAAGAATTTCCGAGGAATTTCTCGAGAATCCTTTCCTGTAACTGATTCCTCGGAAATTCTCGAAAAATTCCCCAGAATTGGTCCCCAAGATGATAGATTTTTGTGGGATCACTGCAGTTTTGAGACTCAGTTTCGAGAAATTCCGAAGAAATTTCCAGGAATTTTTCCCCACAAAATTCCTCAGAATTTCTCTGGAATCCGGAAATTCCTGAGAAATTCTTGGGACTTGGTCACCATGTTTACGGATTTTTAGGGGAATTTATAATATATGCGTCATAGTACGAGATTAAAAAAATGTTGTACAATTTTTTTGAGAAATTAAAATGAAATTTCAATTTTTTTTAAAGTAAAAACACCTAAATAATGTGTGGAAATGTTCAACTTCATGTGTTGTTTGAAAAGTCTTTAATGAAAAAACGGAAACGCCTCTAAACTGTTCGGAAAAATGTGCGGAAATGTCTCAACTTTATATGTAGTTTTTAAAGCCTTTATTGAAAAAACAGAAACGAAATTTTCGGAAAAGTCTCCTATATAATATATTTAAGAAGTTATCTAAAAAGACAAACTCTACCAAAAATTCTGGAAACCTGTAAAGAAAAAGAGAAATCGACTCTACTAATTGAAGCTTTGAAATTTTTTTTTTTAACAAAAACTTGTCAAAATAAAAAGAGTTAACACCTCAACTAAAGGAAGTTTTTAAAAATAAATAATATATTTTTAAATATAAAACTTGACATAACAAAAAAAAAATTTAATTGTTCAAAATTTACATATTTTGGAAAACGGAAATAGAAACATGTGTCACATATTTACTTGTAAAAAATAAAAACAAATATTTTTTACAAAATATTTTTAAATCTTATTAAACCTTCACAAAGTGGACTAAAACTACTTGAATTTACACAAAGAAATAGAGTCTTAACTCTAAATTCCTTTGCAACTCGATGACGAAAACCTTTTCAAACTTAAATTATTTGATCTTACAGCATTCATTCAGCAGGTCAAGTTATATTCTGTATCGGGGAATAAACGTATTGAAAAGTAGATCTGACTATAAGCTGAAGTTTAAACCTCTTGTTTAAAATGTATCTTTCTTGAAAACATATACACTTACACTTTTAAGAACACTTTCTACCTTTTCTAAGAACAATAGAACTCAAGTTACACCAACCTTGGCAGTCTTAAAAGAACACCTCACCTAAAAACTATAATAAAAGAGAGCCCAGAATTAGACAAAGCAGAAAAGATCCGGTTTGCTTAATTCTCTCGATATTGAGATATGGACAGCTGAAGAAGGAATATAATCGTCATGATTTGAAATTATGTAGATTACCTTCTACTTTCATGTTTTTTAAGTTCAATCGTAAAAGACAGCAAATACTAAAGAAGATTCTTTCTCAAAAGGGTTTCTAGAATGAACCAAAAATATATTCAAGTTGTCCAAACCTATCTAAAGGTTCTATCAGAGCTATATTACACCCCCACCTACAGCTCAAAGAACAACTTGATAGTAATACTTGTGATTATAATTGTATTGATCGAAAAATATGAATAAAATAAATACAAGCTTTAGACATTATCAAAGTAAACAAAGTACGCCAAAATCAATATCACCCCCCGTGACCAGTCTCTTAGGGTCAATCTGAGTCAGTTTGAGGCTCTTTTGTTTCCTGACTTGACTCTTGAACCCTAGAACTGGTTCGTTTAGTTACTGTGCTGCTACTGCTCATGGTGGTTTTGCTGCTCATGGCACTGAAGCTGCTACTGATGCTGCTTCCCTCAGTAAAACTACTGATTGAGCTGCTGACACAACCATTTGTTCCATCAGCTTCCTATAGGAAAAAAACGTTGTCAGTGCGGCGATGTTCAAAGGTTATCTATCTAGCAAAATTACGCGCACTGTATGCGCTCCAATGTACTGTAAATGTCAACATTAAAACATTTAAAGTGATTTTTTTCTGAAAAAAAATTAGCGACCTTACTTTTCAGAACTAAAATCTCTGTTGAAATGAAGACGACATTTCCAGTAATCGGAGCACCTCAAGATTATACTTAAAGGAACTGCAATCGACCCTACACTTTAATCTTTCATATATGAAGGATGTCCGAACTTTACCTTATTTGTCAATGTAATACTTGTAATTGTTGTTGCAAGCTATTCTATATTTTAAAAATGTTAGTTTTTACTTTCTAGAAGTCGTAGAAAATAAAAATCGTGATTCGAAATTTTAAAAATTTTATCCATTCACTCATTTTCATGCAATTTGAAAACCATTTTAGCTGATAAACGGAGCAGGGGCGTACAAGGGGAGGGGCTAGCCCCCGGTTCCCCCATAAATGGGGGGGGGGTCGGGGGCACCCATGAATAATAATAAATAAAAAAGATTTTAAATAAAAAAGTTTCATTAAAAAAGCTTTAATCAATACTGCCTTCAGTGTAAATATATATTTGATATTTTTCATCCTTTGAAGCTTACACGGCAGTATTAACAGGGATTGTCTCATGAGTTCACTTTAGAAAATTTCATAAATAATTCATTGACACTTGTAATATGCATATTGGCACTGGAAGTGTGTATTTGATCGAATAGAGAAGGTATCAATATTTTATTAAAAAAGGGGTTTTTAAGGGGGGGGCACAAAAAAATGTTGTGCCCTCCCCCTACAGAAACGCTGTCGTACGCCCCTGAAACGGAGTTCTTGCCGCTGTAAATCGGACAATCCCCTCTTTGCAGACTCAGGCAGATCAGACTCACTTGAAATTACGATTACAGTTCCTTTAACCTTGGTTCAACCAGTACCTTGAGCACAGAATATATTTGATTAAAAACCTTGGTTTAACCAGTACCTTGAGCACAGAATATATTTGATTAAAAACCTTGGTTCAACCAGTACCTTGAGCACAGAATATATTTGATTAAAAACCTTGGTTCAACCAGTACCTTGAGCACAAAATATATTTGATTAAAAAACTTGGTTCAACCAGTACCTTGAGCACAGAATATATTTGATTAAATAGTTCTGGATCCTCAAACGCTTCTTCAAAATGTTCAGAGCTACTTGTCTCGTGTGTGAAATCATCAGTCTGAAATTATTTGTCTTTATTTAAAAAAATTTATCTGTTTGTTTGTTTGTTTGTTTGTCCGATCATAACTCAATTATAGAGAAAAATATTTAGAATCGTAATTTAAGACTAAGCGCGGGTAAACGGCAGGAGTAACTATGAGTACCCTGGGCAACGCTGGGTTCCCAAGCTAGCATAAAAGTATAATATACGATTGCCTTTATACCTTTTTAAACTTTATCTAAGAACTTATTAACATTTCTATGATTGACTTAAGAGCTGCTGTTTTTTAAACGAAAAATAAATTTCTTCCGTTGTTTACCCAAACAAATGAATTTCTAGGATAATTATTCATTAAACAGAAAAAAGATTTGACTATTTCCTTTATAAAATGTGATGTAGTTATCTTTGAAATCAGTTACTAACCTCAAAAGTAAAAACTACCCTAAAATAAAAAAACCTCATGACCTTAAGAAACTTGAATTTGTATCTTTCACTAAATACTTCTATATAGTAGGATCCACCTCGCCAAACACACCACATGTATATACCAACAATATACACAAAACTGAATACAACAAATCAAAATATTGGCTTGACGAGGACATTTTTTTCATGTAATTAATTAATATTATATAATTATAAATATACATTGCTTGTCTGTCTGTAAGTTTCTTTCCAATAACCGTCAAAGGAACTGAGAATTTTTTCCACAAAATCAAATATTCTCTTCCCTATATCCTTGCAACCTGGTGGTGTAAACCTTTGATATTTCAAACTTTGACTATTGGATCCAGTAGAATTCATAGTTTGAAATACCAACAACATTGAGTTTCAAAGATATGTGTACTAAAAAAGCATAACATGTATCAATAACTCAGTTTCTTTATTTACATTTTTTGTATGTCAAAACTCAAAACGGTTCAATTCTTGTGGGACATCACTTGACCGCAGAGAAAATCGGTGAACGTTTATGCATGATAATTTTACAATTAAAAAATTCAAGCAATTAAAAAATGATTGCAGGTGAAGTAAAATTTAAATGCTATTATCACTGAAATAAAGGGTGCGGAGCGCCCTATAAATCAAGTTGTGTAAAAATATATAAATCAAGTTGTGTAAAAATATATAAATCAAGTTTTGTAAAAATACATAAATCAAGTTGTGTAAAAATATATAAATCAAGTTTTGTAAAAATATATAAATCAAGTTTTGTAAAAATATATCAATCAAGTTTTGTTAATATATATAAATTAAGTTAAAAAAAAGTTAAACTTTTGTATACCTTTTTTAAAGCTGTTGACTATTTGACTATTTAAGTATTGGGATCACGTCTTGAACTCCATATTTTGGTTGTCCCTGAAACTGTAGGTGGTGTAGAGTATGGGGGTGAAGGCCAGGGTGACCAGGGTGTACAACAGTTGGCTCAACATAAACAATATCTTGGACTTAGGCCCGTCAGTAAATTCCTAAATAAATGTAAAAAGGGATTTTTTATCTTGTCTGGGAGTGTATGTTTTTTGTTTGTTTGTTTGTTTGTCTGTCTGTCCGTCCGTTTGTATTTGGTTTGTTTTCAATCAACCTCAAAACGGCTGAACCGATCGGGCCCAAGTTTTGTGTGGGACCTCACATGACCCCAGGAAGGATGTATGGATGCTCAAAATCCCACAGATAGTATCAAAAGATTTTGATTTTTGTTAAATTTAGAAAATGCGCGGAAAAACATTATTAAATCCGCGAGCTTTATTATGCTCGAATTGATAGAGCCAAAATTAAAGGTAGAAATAGAAAATGCGTGCGAAGCGTCCATCAACGCCTATTTGATTTATATTTTATTTATAAAATGCTAGAGTAATAGATAAAAATAGAAAGACAACTTTTATAATCAAATCATTATCGTTTAAAAGTCCCATGAGCAAAAGACACAGCAATTGTGGAATGTAAAAAGACACATTTCACTGAATTGGTAATTTAATATTTGTCTAGTAAAACTATTTACGTTGTAACAACATCAAATACAATTAAGTATTGCTTCTACAATCTCGTTTTTTCTTCCGAGCCGCTGTAAATGTATTTTAATATTCTATATGAACTGCACAAACAACTTTAAATATATTCATCCATGCATACCGACACAAGGTCTAATTTATGCAAATTACTGGGACGATTTTGTAACCTCGTCTCCTCTAGTTTTCATTTTACATATTAGAAAAAGAAAATTTTTAGTTAGCATTTAAAGATTTAAAAACTTATTTTTTTCTTCACTTTACCTCCTAATAATAAATAAAGTTATGTTTGAAAACATTAAAAAATATATTAATTGAAATTTACTCTAGAAGGCATTTAATATCTTTTTTATATTTTATACTTTTTTCTTTCTAAAAATCAATGTATTTTGACAAAGAAATGAATACCTCTGTTTTTTCAATTATTCCCAGAGCAATTGTTACTTTTCGTACTAGCTTATTCATTCCATTCTTCTTGTCTTTGATCAGATACCTGAAAATATAATATTTTTTAAAACTACAGTTTAACACAGAAAATTGGGAGACATCGAATAAAATGAATAAAATGACGTTTTCTGAACCTACTAATTGAATGCTGCAGATATTTAGTTTTTTTATTGAATAAATTCATGAAGCTTTAAAACTGTTCCCACTTACTTCATGCCTACTTATCTATTTTACAATTATTTAGATTTAGGTCTGCTAGTATAAAAGTAAAACCCATTGAAAAATTTTAAAACCACATTTTATAAATTCTTTCAATGTCTCCAAAGTTCTGGGTTAAACTGTAGAATCATAAAATACCAGGGTATTATTGGGAAATTTATATTTTTTATACTTTTCGAAAGTTGAATTTTTCAAATCTGTAAAATTAATGTAGAAACTGTTTATAGTAAGAAAACTTCATAATTTGTTGATTTCTTCCTTAAAAAGTTTTAGTTCAATAGGATTTAGAGTCTTCTTTCTTTACAGAAATTAAACAGACGGAAGTTCTATTTTTTTTCTTAAAATTTCATCAATTCTCGCAATTTTTAAAGTAAACAATGGAAATGAATACAGTTCCCAAACTACCGGTATAGTTTCCAAGGTACCTGTATAGTGTATAGTTTCCAAGCTACCTGTATAGTATATAGTTTCCAAGCTACCTGTATAGTTTCCAAGCTACCTGTATAGTTTCCAAGCTACCTGTATAGTGTATAGTTTCCAAGCAACCTGTATAGTATATAGTTTCCAAGCTACCTGTATACTGTATAGTTTCCAAGCTACCTGTATAGTTTCCAAGCTACCTGTATAGTTTCCAAGCTACCTGTATAGTTTCCAAGCTACCTGCATAGTATCCAAGCTACCTGTATAGTTTCCAAGCTACCTGCATAGTATCCAAGCTACCTGTGTGAAGTGATTAAATCTGGATCTCTTTGTAGTCTATCTGCCCAGACAACTTCGGTAAGGAACAGATAAATCCCTTGCCAGACACTTGAACATAAATAAAATAAAATACTGTATAGCACAATCGGCATTTGCGAGGCACTTGAAAATAAATAAAATAAAATACTGCATAGCACAATCGCCATTTGCGAGGCACTTGAGAATAAATAAAATAAATACTGCATAGCACAATTGCCATTTGCGAGGCACTTGAGATTAAATAAAATAAAATACTGCATAGCACAATCGCCATTTGCGAGGCACTTGAGAATAAATAAAATAAAATTCTATATAGCACAATCGGCATTTGCGAGACACTTGAAAATAAATAATTCTGGATTAAGCATAACTGGAAATTGACATACACCTTGCCAGACATTTTCATATATAATAGAATATAACATGCCATAACCAATTGCTATACACTGTTATAGAATATAAATTAGCTCTTGCTTTGTACTTACCACTTGCTTTAGCAATATTCATACACTTAACACTTTTGTGGCCGTATTCATCATATTGGAGAGACCGGGAAACGTAAATAATACAATTTTAAGTTTTGTTTACAACCAATCTAGCCATTATTCTATTGCACATGTTATGCCCTTGAAATAATATTTTATTTACCTCACTTCAAAATCATTAAAATTGCGGCGTCAAACCATACAGAATTCCAACCTTTAGAAACCGCTACGTATAGCAACAAGGCGTATTTTCCGGGAGAACATTTTTTTATCTTAAATAATCTGTGTAAAGTAGATATAATTTTCATAAAATCCTTTTATTTAAATGGTAACACGGATTTCTATAATGTTTGACGCCCAAAATTGCCATGCACCGTTCACTTATTTTGGTAATTTTATTGTAAACAAAATATCTATTAGCTATTAATTGGTTTTAATCTTAATTTTCAAAGATAACTGTGGCCGGGGAAGAAGTCGATTTTCCTTCAGAATTTCCGGCCTAAAGGTATGTCGATGATACCTTTGTATAGACACAATTATACACTTTTCAATGTGATTGGACACTTTTAAAACATTCAAACATAAAAACCTTTGCCAAAGAAATCAAATCAATGATTATTTTGGTTAAAAGTAAAAATTTAGGTACAAAATATTTTTAAGAAAGATCTTAACTACAAAAATATAGTAAAGTTGTAATAAAGAATCACCTGTAAAGGATCATGGGCCAGAACACAACTTCGTTAAATGTAAGAACATCATCGAGCTTGATTGCATCACTAGGAATCAGCTGCCACCTGCCATTAAATTCTTGGAGAAAGTCAAGGGGGGGCAATGGCGCTTGATGAAATACAAAATATACCATACAAGTTTAGTAATCTGATATAAGCGTTTGTTTACATGTATCCCAGAAATTGCAGTAAACATTATTTTGTAAACAAAGCTATAGTTTCTTGAATATACAGGGTTACCCACTAAGAATGATATTTTAAAGGGAGTGTTCGCGAAAAATAGTTAAATTAAATTCAGTTTTGGTCGCTACATTTTTACGCCTATCTGTTGGGTGTAAGAAGAAAATGGTTAAAAACGCCCTATACCCAAGAGAGTAAAACCCAAGACAGTACAACCCATTCGTATGTAGTTTATTTATAATAATCTTTTTTATTTTTCTCCATGCGCTATATACTTTGGACGACGATTTTTTGGCCGTTAGGTGTCTTTCCCAAGTGGAGCGAGAGGAAGAGACACCTAGCGGCCAAATATTCGTCGTCCAAAGTACATCGAATATAAAAAATAAAAAAAATTATGGTATATAAAATACAATTAAACAAATTGCCCAAATTGAATCCGACACCCCCCGTTCTTATTTTACAAAATAAATCGCAAAAACAAAGAGGAATTAACAACTGCTGAATTATTTCAAGAATCCATGTTTTTTAGATTTTATTTGCTAATTGGGAGAATAAAGATGATTTATTTTCCTGTTATCTATGTTAATAATGTTTAAATAATAAAAAATGTCTAAACCTGTACAAATGAAGGGTAAGAGGTGGGAAAGCATGCAGAAAGAAAGAGGTTAGTTTGTCCAAACTGTGAAAAACTGACAAAATATTTGTTTTTAAAAACAGGTCAAAAGAAACCACTAATAAACTGTTTGTGTGGTTAACTAAACTGTAAATTAGTTACCTAAACTGTTTGTGTAGTTACCTAAACTGTTTTGAGTAGTTACCTAAACTGTTTTGAGTAGTTACCTAAGCTGTTTTGAGTAGTTACATAAACTGTTTTGAGTATGTGACCTAAACTGTTTTGAGTAGATACCTAAACTGTTTTAAGTAGTTACCTAAACTGTTTTGAGTAATTACCTAAACTGTTTTGCCAGACCAGAATAGCAAGCATTAAACATCCCATACACAACACATAGTTAGCCTAAACATATCAGAGACATATCAAATATATTAAACATCCCATACACAACACATAGTTAGTCTAAACATATCAGAGACATATCAAATATATTAAACATCCCATAAACAACACATAGTTAGTCTAAACATATCAGAGACATATTAAAATAATTTGAAACAAACAATTTTGAAACAGCTTATATTAGAAATCGATGAAATTTTTAACAGATTTGTAATTTAAGTTTTATAAGAGTAACATTCTGATTCACACTTTTGCTCTAATTGTTAATTACCGACCTTAAACCACATGAGAGAGTTAGGGAAGAAAGCCGTCTGAACAATGACAGATAGGTTCATGAAGTAGCAGAAATCTAACATAAAGAACTCTGAGTTCTCTTCTCTATACTGGAAGTATCTAACAAGAATATATTTTAAAACCACATGAGAGAGTTCGGGAAGAAAGCCGTCTGAACAATGACAGATAGGTTCATGAAGTAGCAGAAATCTAACATAAAGAACTCTGAGTTCTCTTCTCTATACTGGAAGTATCTAACAAGAATATATTTTAAAACCACATGAGAGAGTTCGGGAAGAAAGCCGTCTGAACAATGACAGATAGGTTCATGAAGTAGCAGAAATCTAACATAAAGAACTCTGAGTTCTCTTCTCTATACTGGAAGTATCTAACAAAAATATATTTAAAAAAAAGTTTTTCTTTCACACAAAGAGATTATTACTGATGAGAGGGAGTTCGAGTTGATCTATCTTTTAAGAAACTGTTCACTAAATTTCTAGTGACCCTCTATAGGCAGCAGCTTACCCACAGCTTACTGAATCTTATAATCTGAGCCCAAGTATAATGAAGATATTCTCGTTTTTCTATCTGAAAATGATTTACTTCTATTTGTGATTTATCTTTGTTTTTCTTGAGAATTTTATGCAACAAAGATTTTCCATTGGTGCCCAGATAAGATTTAAACAGTACAGAGCTGGGAACTTTAGAATGGATAACCTTTATTCCCAACTTTTAATTTTAGTCCTTAATCCACTCTTTTTCTCTCTCGTTGGACATCCGTACGCTGTTTTCTCCAATGAGAGTGCATGAATATAGTTCGTAAATTGTATTGACCAATGACAGCCTTGAAAACAAATTCTATCCCATGAGAGAAACCCGCAATTTCAAACAAATAAAGAATTTGTTGTCGGCCATTGCGTAAATTAATCGTTGAAGAAAAATATTTAATAATATGTTTGAGATTCTTTTGTAACCAATTTTAACCAATGTATTAATAATTAAGTGGTGGAGAAATTACTTGAAGGGCCTTCCAGCCAAGAAAACAAACAAATCTGGCGTAAATACCAACCTTTGTTTACAGTCGTTGTCATTGTGTTGTTAAAAATAGTATCCAGCTTCATAAAATGTAAAATGTAAAATGTAAAATGTCCGAATTTGCCTCTTCTTAGTTTGATTATTTTATACTGCTAGAAAAGCTATTTTAAATCACCTGTTTCCGACAAGGCAAGACATCAGAAAATAATAAAACTGAAATAAAACAGAGTTCAAAATATATGAAAACTCAAATAAAACAGAGTTCAAAATATATGAAAACTCAAATAAAACAGAGTTCAACATATATGAAAACTAAAATAAAACAGAGTTCAAAATATATGAAAACTCAAATAAAACAGAGTTCAAAATATATGAAAACTCAAATAAAACACTAGAGTTCGAAATATATGAAAACTCAAATAAAACAGAGTTCAAAATATATGAAAACTGAAGCAAAACAGAGTTCAAAATATATGAAAACTGAAGCAAAACAGAGTTCAAATTATATGAAAACTGAAATAAAACAGAGTTCAAAATATATAAAAACTAAAAATAATATCTACAGGTAACTTTTGATTAACTAGGTAAAACTTTTGATCAGACAGAGGTTTAAGGATACCATTGTGAATCAGGAAATTCCATCTTTGCTTTGCGGGTCCCTTAAAATTAAGTTTACAGTCCCTTAAACTGTTTTTTATCAGAAAAAATGTTACATGTCAGAAAAATTCAAAATTCAATCCGTTAAAAGCTTCAACTTCTTGTTGGATAAGATTGGAAATGTTCGAGTCCCTCCAAGGTCTTGTAGGGTTGGTTCAACAACATGAGTAACAAGTAGAATACAAGTTTAAAACCTTGTTCATAAAAAAGTGTCCAGTCTTAAATTAATTAATCTAATGTTTGGTAATTGAAAAGGAACTCAGCACTCAGCACAAACTGCAATTTTCTAATCCAATCAACACTTTCAGTTTGAACCTTATAAACCTTGTATATTTCAAAGTTTGACGATTGATCCAACAGAATTCAAAGTTTGAAATATCACAGGTCATAGCTTAGGTTTCAAAGTATAAGGATTGGAAATTAGAATTTGTGGCGATAGTTGCATTACCTTCGGAATTTCATGAAATTTTTATAAAAGTTTTCAAAATACTATTTTCTATGATCCAAAATATTTTATTATTGCTTCTCACCGGTGTAAAATATGTTGGATGCCTGGTAAATAAATTTGTTTTAATTTTTTTCTTCAAAACTTTATCGGATTGTATATTTTTAAGTTGTTTTTATCTTTTAATAAAACCAAATTTGTTTTTCCTAAGTGCTAGAAATTCTATAATTATCATAGAAGCCACTCCAAAGGTGAAGGAAAGTTTATCAATCAGCTTAACCTAATAACAATAAAAGTTTTATTATGATACAAATTCCGTTAAAATTTTATAGAGATTAAAAAATAAGACATTTTTGGTAAAAAATGGGGGACATTACATATATACATTTTCATATTTTAAAAAATCTCCTTCCCCTTCCTTACAAAAACCCTAGTTACACCTCTTAAGCAATGAATATACATGATACAGGGATAGAGATATAGGGATAGAGACAGTTTCCAAAGGATCATACTGGATTGAAGGTTTGCCCTGGATGAGGAAGGACAAGAAGGAGATGCCTATAACTTCATACAAGAAACTCAAGCTAGATAAGAAGACAGCGGATAATGTTCAACGAGAATGCTTCCCAGAATCATTTTTGAAGGAATTCTCTGCGAGTACGGAAGATGTACAGGAAGAGCTGCAGGATGTTGATGAACCACCTCGTGGCTTTGCAGCCCTGGCGGCCAGGGCGGGGAGGGGTGTAGCAGAGCTACTTGTAGATCCTGTATTTCACGGTTGGATGAAAGCTCTGAGGATAACAGGGTATATGCAAGGATGGAAAACTAGCCATTCCCACAGTAAACATTTGATTCAAGATGAAAAGTGCAGGATTTGTGTGCTGGGAGACCATAGATGGGATCCTAGGAATGAGA